AACTTGAAATTAAGAATATGTCTCTTTCTACACTAATTCTAAGAATAGTAGAACCATAGAGACTCTCTTTCTTTGATTAATTATTCGCAAACATTCCTTCAAATATCCATCACCTGTTTGTCATTATGTCTATTAGATCTTTATACCCATTATCTTTTAATTGCTATGATTCATTTTCAAACTCTTAAAAATATTCCATTGTCTCCATTCTGGACTGTGGCATTTTCAAACTCTTCATTGAATTTCATCATTAACTGCTCAGATTCTCTTATATCTGTCTACTTCTTCGTTTTCTTACTATAATTATACTTATTAAGAATGTTGTTTATTATGTTTTACAAATATTCTTCCATTTCAGATATATTCCATTTGATTATCATAACCAAAATCTCTTTTTATAAGAGTTTAAGCAATTATATTCATCAATAAGTCTTCTCTATGTAGAAGTTTTAATAGTCATTGATATAGTCATACTAGTTCTTTCTCATTACTGGTGGTTAATTTATAATTTGTAAGTCAAACACCGACAAGGTGACTCCATTTTTATAATTGTTGTACTTCTTAAGTGAGATCCTCAAATCATCTCTATTCCTCTATCTAAACATTCAAATCACAAACCATTTATATCTCTCTTCATAGTCTATTTCTTAAATTATTCTTCTTAAATTATTCTTATGATTTCCTATTTTATTCGTTATGTTCTTGTGTTTATAGCCTATCTATTTCCCTAAATTCGTTTATGGTAACTTCTGTTGCGGTTATGATTAAGAGGCCGATCTGCTCTGGGCGGCGGAGGAAGGTGACGATCTGAGGGAGAACCAGTTTGGGCAGCAGAGGACAATGACGATCTAGGCATAGATAGTTTGGATTGCATCAGAGATCTAACCAGCAGAAATGGATGACACCGGCGAAGGTTATGGCGATGTGGTGGTGGCATATCCGAAGAGGCGAGCATTGTCATTGGAGTAGAAGAAGCGTCATTAGGAGGCATTGGTCACGAAAAAAAATAAGAAAAAGAAAGATGAAGGATAGACATGGATAAAACGTGAAAATTACATTTGGAATGATCATTCATCCCACATGTGAGAGGAGGAGGAAGCGTTGTGTTTGGGGATTAATGGACATGATCGTGATGTTGAGGAGAGAAGCTCGATGGAGATGAGCGGGACTGTGGATCTAGCGATGAACATCGCTGGAATTTGAGGATTGATGAATCCGGGTTAGGGACGTTGAAGAGCCCAAATCCCACCCACGCTGAACACAGCCGCCAATCGCGCCTCCTCGCTCACCACTCGTCTTTGCCGCTCTCGCAAGCTGAAAAACCAAATTTGAAAGGGATAATTTTTCGGAGGGCATTTAAGTCATTTTACTAAAAAAGGGGGTCACATGATGGGTCGCGTGAAATGTTCAGTTAAAAATTTAACAAAATTTGACAGAAAATACCAAACTGTCACCTTTTAAAGAGGTTGGGTGTTGTTTTGTCAAAAAAAAATGTTAGAGACCAAACTGTCACCTACTAAAGAGGTTGGGGACTATTTGTGCAAATTATCCTATTTTAATTTTTACTTTTGGAGTTTTTTTTCCTTGTCTTTTGTTTTAGATCTTTTTCCCGCTTTTGTCTTTATTTTTATCTTTTTTCTTCTTCTCTCTCTTTTTTTCCCAACAATTTTGTATAAGTTTTTTTTCTTCTTAGATTTTTTTTATTCTTTGTAGAGTGTTTTTTCATATCTTTTGTTTTAGATCTTTTTCCCGCTTTTGTCTTTATTTATTTTATGTATAAGGTTTTTTTTATAACTTTTTGGAGTTTTTTTATGTCTTTTGTTTTAGATATTTTTGTCGATTTTGTCTTTGTTTCTTTTATCTTTTTTTTTTTCTACTCTCTTTTTTCTCAACAATTTATATAAGATATATAAGATCTATTTAGCAGGGCTTACTAAAAGTGAAAATGGTAACATATAAGCCTTTTTGTTAAACCATTTGTAGTAAATAGTATAATTACTAATAGGGAAAATAAATAGCATATTTTAAAATTTTAGTATGTTGTGCTCCAATTTTACCTTTATGTTCTTTCTTTCTTGAAACTATAAATTATTTATATATTGAACCCTTAACTTTTTAAAAATTCTATTTTGACCTCTTAACTTTTTGAAAATTGTATTTTGACCCCTTAATTTTTTTAAAAAATTCATTTTGACCCAATTTTATAAATGTTTTTGCATTTATACCCATGTGAATGAATCATTTACTATGTAAATCCATCATTTACAAATTATTTTGTGATCCTTTATTTACAGCCCAATAATTTAGTTTATTTGGTAAATAACAAATTTACTTGGTAAATGATGCATTTATCAACCAAAGGAGTGGTAGGTAACGAATTTATACTGTAAATGCTTCATTTACTCGGTAAATGCTTCATTTATCCCATAAATGCTTCATTTACAAACTAGAAGCATGGTAAATAATGAAATTACTGGGTAAATGCTTCAATTACAACCTAAAAAATAAATGTGATTTTGATAAATATAAAATCTGTCATTTATGTATGAGTAAATCCTTTAATTACCAGCCAATCGTTATAAATTATGTGGTAAATGATGAATTTACTGGTAAAGTCTTTATTTACTAGCCAATATGGGTGTTTTTGCAAAGTTTTTTTAAAAATTTGAGTAAAAATGTAATTTTTATAAAATTCAGGGGTCAACTTATAACTTTTAAAAAATTAAGGGATAATTATAATGTTCTAAAAGTTTAGGGATAAATTTATAATTTTCTAAAAATTCGAGGGGTCAAATTTTAATTTTAAGATATTTAGGGTACTTTATTATTTATAAAAAATTATTAGAACCTCAAAACTCTTGAACAATTATATTTGTCCCTACTAAATTTTTGCCTAATAAAATTTATTATTCTCATCATTTCTGGGTATTTTTAGTATTTATAAAGTGGTAAATGCTCATTTATCAAAATTATACTATTTACTTCTTATCTTTAAACTTTATGCTATTTATTTTTATTGAAGTCCATATTATATTATTTTCCTCTTTGCCCCTAGTGCTTTTGGCTCAAAGAGAAGTCAGGCTCATCTAGCTTTCTTTAAAAGTGCTTCTAAGAAAAACATGGGAAACAGTTTTGAGGTTTTAATGAAACTCTCATATTTCCACATTTATCCTCTCATTAATGAATGATAAAAATTAAATTCCAACCATATCCCCTCCTTTTCTTTTACTGATCATGCTCTTTGAGAGTTTGAGTTCTATATCACTTCTTTTTTTTCTTTTTCTTTTTTTTTTCTTCCAGCACTTAATCTTCCAGAAGAGAAGAAACCCTAACATTCACCAAAAATTCTACAATCTCAAAAACAGGCACCACAAAAAGTTAGCAATCTCAAACTATAAGTTATTTTTATTTGATGGACTCCTCTTTTCAAGTTGGGTGCTAGGTTATTTATAAAAAAGGCAAATAGAGAGATTTTTGTAGCTTTGAAGCAACCTGAATATCATATTGAGTTATTGAAGGATCAACATATATAGGGAAACCTTTTTAAGTTCATTAAGTAGCAGGACTACTCTTTTCTTAGCCTTCTGATGATGTTATCAGCTACTCTTTTGTTATCAACTACTTTTTTTAAAGCCTTTATGATGATGTTATTAGCTACTCTTTGGTTATCGACTACTCTTTTATAAGCCTTATGATGATGTTAGGCAATATAATTCCATATCGAGACTGATGTGCAATTTCATAATTGCAATAGACTATACTGTTATTTTCCTTTATTTTGAATTAGTTGCAGAATTGCTTTTACATCATTAATCATACTATTCCTTATAAACATTTTTGTTATTTATAAGTTTGTTTACTTACAAAATAGAAAGTGATTCGTTGAATAATGGGAAAAAGAGATAAATACACTTTAAAAGTGCATGGGTCAGGATTTTTATTCCTTACTCTTGATTAATAACTTCTTTAATCAGATAACGATATTAGTAAAAGGATATTAACCAAGAATGAGGTATAAAAATCCTGACTTATACACTCTTAAGGGTAAATTTTACAATTTTCTCTTGAATAATATATAGAACAGCTAAAAGAGATGGTATAGATTTTATTTACATAATTTGAGGATTTATTATAACTTTTTTTTTTCTTAGAGTCATGGTACTTTTTTTTTACTTAGTGTCATGGTTTTTTTTTTTTTACTTACTGTCATGGTTTTTTTTTTTTTTTTTTTACTTAGAGTCACGTTACTTAATTATGCTTTATTAATATTTTTTTAGGGAATCTTTATTACTATTTGCATGAACAAGATTTATTTGTTTCACTGTTTGAAAATTAGTTTAGGATAAATATACGTAAATTATTTCAAATAGAGAGAAATATATAATAGACATATCCTGATTAGAGGAGATTTTACAATAGTCATGCCAAACACCAAACTACAAGCGGTATTATTTGTTATAAAAAATAAAAATAAAAAAATAAAAAAACGAACTCTTATAAACAACATGTCCGTTTATTTGTTACACCACAAGCAGTATGCCGTTTCCCGCTGAACTTTTTTAGTTTCCAACAAAATGCACCAAATTTTTACAACCAAACGATGCGGCAATTATATAGGTGAAACATGTACTGATTTCTTTACTTTTCTTTTCCTTAAGACAATTGAAGCAAAAAATAGAGAATGAAAAGCATAAGAAACTAGTCAAACTACATCAGAATGATTTCTTTTTCTTCCTTCTTTTTCCTCATGAACACCAGAACTCTTTGATTCAAAGGTTTATAAAATTATGGCCATGATGAAAAAGAGAATTACAATAAAATAAAACAAAAGAAAAGAAAAAAACCTTTACAAAAAAAAAAAAAAAAAAAAAGGTTCCCACGTCTCAACAAACATTCTACTTACAATCTTGTGTGCCAATTAATGGCTTAAAAAAAAGGAAAACTAAAATTAGAAAAGGAAGAAACGACGAAGAAGAAATAAATGGAGGAATTGTCCGAACTCAGAAGTGGCAGCCGCAGCAGACGAAGAAGAAGCAGAGGATGGAGACTAGAACGACGGCCTCAACGACATACATTATTCTGAATACGACGTCGTCTAATATGCTCGGCTGAAAGTCCTGGCGCTTCCATCTGAACGCCGAGATTAACCTCCATGGCCGTAGCTCCTTTCTCACCTTCTTCAACGACCACGCCTTCATTAATCCCATTAATTACTCCTCTCTCCCTCTCTCTCTCTCGCTCTCTCTCTCCCTCTCTAGATTACGTTGAGAGATGTAGTATTATAATTAGCTTACAAATTCAACGGTATCAGCTAAGGCAGTGATTTGTTGTTATACACACACACGCGCATATTTATAATATTATGTAGAGAGAGGAACACAATGATGGAATTAGACGGTGGCATTGGTTTTTCTCATAAAGGTGACGATGATGAAGAGGGTATTTCTGGAATGTTAAAAGGGTTAGTGGAGAATATTCTGAGCAAAAAAAGAAAAGTGTTTTTACGTTTTACAGCAAGGCGGCTCTATACACCTGTCATTATTCTAATAGACCATTGGCCCATTGCTGCAGTTCCACGGATGAGGTTTATGGAATGTCATTCAACAATTTTTTTCTTCCACGCGCCTGAAAGTTACCGGCCACAGCCGGTTTTGTGTAAAGTGAAATTGATTTCATCCATTTAAATTTAAAATTTAAGTTTTATTACAATAAAAAAAATTTTTAAAAAAATTGCATTTAATTTTTTTATAGGAGAAAGAATGAAATAGATTAAGATTTGAGATGAATTAAAATTAATAGGTCAATAATTTACATAAGTTAATAAATATGTCAAATTACTATTTTTGTCTATAACTTGTCTGATTATAAACCATAACTTGACAAGTTTGTCCATAACTTATCTAGTTATGAACTATAACTTAACAAGTTATGAGCTATTAATTTGTATAACTAAAAGTTAACCTATATACTTTCTTAAGCTTTTCATATTAACTTATTTTCCATTATTTCTGTTTTTTTATTATAGTAAAAAATTTTCACATAAAATTATATTTTAATTTAAATTAAAAAATTAAATCAGTGAAATAAATAAATCCTTTTATACAGTTGTGGAGTGAAATTTGGAAAATATGAGCACTGCCAAATTGTGTTTGTGGGACAAGATTCCTGTTTTTTTTTTTTTTTTTTTTTTGGCTGTGGAGAATATTCTTCTTGTTTCCATTTTGTTGTCGTAATTTTTTATAGGAAATTTACTAATACATTAAATTTGTAAATGATTTGCTTATATTTTTCGTTGACAATTTTTTTAACCAATTTGAATTGGTCCGAGTTATAGTTTATTACATCTACACATATATATAAGTTTTAAAATTCCTTCAACCCAAACATGCGTTTTGGTTGAAATGTGCAGTTTTGGTTTTATTGATAGTTTTTTTATTTACTCAAATTAATTTTTTTTTGCGGATATATTATTTAGATTTTTTTCGGTGTGCCCTAAAATTTATTTGTTTCTCCATTGTAGTATTTTTTTATCTTAAATTTTTTTTTTTTTGTTCCTTTTGTCTTAAAATTTCTTTATTTCTTTATTTTAATTCTTTTCTGCCCATTTTTTTATTTTTGCATTCAAATCTTATTTTTTTGTTTTAGTTTCTTTTATTTTAAAACTTATTTATTTCTTCATTTTATTTTATTTTTTTACCTTTTTTGTTTTAGTCTTGATTTTTTTTGTCCGTTTTGGTTTTTTTACTTTAAAACTTGTCAATTTCTAGTTTTGATTCTTTTTTTTTTATTTTTACCTTAAAACTTTATCTTTTCTTGGTTGCAGTTACAACATCTTTCTGGTGTGATGTCATTTTCTTGTCATCCTTTTGACTTTTGAAGTGATTGGTATCTTTCTCCCTTCCTTTTGTTTTCATAACTCTTGGGTCGGATTATGTTGTGGGTACTGGGTCCTTCCTACTATTATCATATATGTTACTTTTATAAGGTGCTTGGATTAAAAAAAAATTTAACGGTTATGGTTATTCTATAACTAACATTAACAACATATTAGGCCCGGATTTTTTTTTTTTTGGTAAAACAAACTTATATGGTTGTCTAACAAAATTAACGTTAATTATATTGCTAAAACTAAGATTAATGGATAATTATTATTTTTCCTGAAGTGATTAACAACATTTATTGATGTTTCTTCATCATTATGATTTTGGTGTGTTATTTTTTTTCCATCCCCAGTATATACGTGAATGCGTGGATATATTTGAGTATATAATATGTTCTATTCGATGAAAAGTTCTTAACATGACAAAATTAATGAAAATTTTCTAGGCCTTGATTATGGTTTTTTCTTACAAATTTTTTTGGAAGAATGAAGTAAATAGTAGATTTATAGTAAATAATTGAAATAAATAGTAAAATTTAAAACTATTTGAGGTAAATAACAATTTATATTATAAATATAGTAAAAAGATTTTTTTTGCAAGTAAATGATTTACACGGTAAACTACTATAACTTTAAATAGTTTTAAAGTTGACTATTTATTGTTTAATTTTATAAATATGAACCTTTTTCAGTATGCTAACATACCGATAAGTCAAGTTTTTTTCCGTCAGATTTACAAAAAATCATATAAAAATAAAAAAGTATACATATTTAACGGTTAAAAAAATCTGACGTACCAGTACGCTAGACATACTAGAAAATCTCTCTTATAAATATGTTATTTACTGTAATTTTTGTTTCTTTTCTATGATACGGTTAACTTTAAGCGCAACGAAATTATGCAAAAACTTTCCTAAAAAAAATTTGCAGAAAACCTTGTAAAAAAACTCATGTCCAGCCCAAAACTAGTCAAGTTTACTGTAGTCTAAGCCCGGTTATCAACCATTTATCCATGTTCCCTATGTATGATGATGATGATGATGATGATGATGATGATGATAATAATAATAATAATAATAATAATAATAATAATAATAATAATAATAGGATAGGTAGCTATAGTTGATAGGTTTTGAAGCTCAATTTTTAATTTATTTTAATTCTTAGGCCTCGTTCGTTTCGCTGATTCGACTTTAGAATTCGAATTGAGATGTGATTTTATATTGGAGCTTTTTACTGTAGTAAAAAAGTTAGATGTGACTGTTTATGAGAACTTTTTACTGTAGCAAAACTCGAATTAGCGAAACGAATGAGGCCTTAATATTAACCGGTTGCCAATTAGAAAATAAAAAAACCCTTCAATGTCCTTATTGAATACTCACCATCAGATCTAATTTAAATAATATAGAATGTCACATCATAAAAATCAATGGCTCACAACCATCCGTGGAATCAGTGGAGTTACAATCTCCGTTGGTCTATAGCAGTGCCCTACTAAATATATTGAAAACAATATTTATTGAGTTCAATATTCATTTATTTTCTTTCCCTTGTATATATTATTATCACCTGGTTTTAAAATTTCCATTTACTTCCTTTCAAAAAAACAATTTCCATTTACTTTATCTACAAGTTGTAGCCTTAAAAAGAGAGAAACGTAGGTTCAAATGAGCGGCAATTATTATTATTGAAAAATAAAAATAATGATTTAAAGTTAACTGTTTAAAATAAGAGAATTATACAGAATAGTTGTGACAATAATTAATGCAATGCATATTAGAAAAAAAAAATAAACACAAAAAGTTGACATAAAAAGACTAACTGAATATTAGATTTTGATTAAATAGATATACCACATAAATAAAATGAAATAGTATAATCAGTCCACTGAATAATTCCTAATTGAAGTAACACCTCTTCTCAATTATGAAAAGATAAGGAATTGAGAAATAAGAAAATATGCCAATAAGAATAAAGAATAGAGAGTTTCTCCAGTCAAACAAAAACATTGAACTACCGGTAGTTTTTTCTTATTTGTAAATTTATTGTTTGTGCTTTAGCAAAATAATGATAATAATTAGTTATTTGTTTTCTTAACCTATAAGAAAATACATTACTTGTTGCTTCCTTTCTTGATTAATATGCTTGTTTATGATATAGAAAAATAGACATTTAAGATGAATTTTTTAGTCGATAATGATAATAGTAACACGTTAAGTGAAGAGTTGCATGTATGCTTTTTCATTATCCAATATTTTCATTTCATGTTATTAAAAGCATTTTTAATATAATATTATAATTGATAGGTTAATTATAAATTTAATATTTGAGTGTAAAAAACATTCTAATGCAATGTTATTGGTTGTGTCAAATTTCTCATATGCTATACTTTATGACAAATTTCTCACTAAGTATAACATATGAGAAATTTAGCATTTAATTGCTATTGGTTAGAATATATATTTATTTTATGTAATCATTGCAACTTTTATATTTTTTAATTCTTTTAAATATAAAAGTTTACAACTTTCAAAGCTTAATAATTATGAGAAAAAATAGATTTAACATTTCAAATAGTATTATGCATTGACATTAAAAATAAAAATAACATATCATATCACATTTTTTTATAGTAAATATACAATTGACTTTAACATCTATATTGAAGATGGTCTAAAGCAGCGTTGGATATATAAATCTATATCTATATAAAATTATTTTTTTTAATCAACAACCTGGAAATTCTCTTTTATGTGATTGTAAAGCATAAGCTTTCACGAAATTGTTTCTTCTAAGGCCGGAAAAGTTATAGTTCTACAATTATAATAAACATATATCTGAATAGACCAGACTGTGAAATACAATAATAAACCTATTTGTCAAAGAAAAATGTTGAGCAAGGTTTTTCACGTCTAAAGAAAATAAATTTTTACTCCTAATGAAACTATTATTTGAGTTTGAATAATAAAAAAATAATAAAACATCGAGAGTGATGTTATTACATTTATAGTAAAAACTCCATAAATAAATATTCGATAAATTAATAACCTCACTTAAATAGTAAAAACTTCTTGTCCCGACTCAAGCTAATATATTAAATTAATAATCTCGCTAAATGCATAAGATAATAATTTTTTAAAATATAAATTAATAATTGAAAAAAAATATAATTCATAATATTAAATAGTTTTTTTCTTGACAACTTCTATTTTCTCAATTCAACTCTTTTACAAAATATCTAAAAGTCATTTATTTATTCTTTGGATCTAAATTGAACTCAACCTCGTCTTCAACTTTTTGCAAAGCACGCACCACATCTGGTGTATT